ACCAATTAATTATGAACAATATAAATATGAGTTTTTACATTAAAAATGATGTTTTTGGCATATAAAATATTATGTGATGCATGACGGTAAGTTCGCATGTTAACACTCGAGACTAGACCGCTATTTGTTATTAAATGTTATGTTGAATGATCATTATGATAAATAATTATAATTATTATGGATAATTTTGAATGATAAACCTACTGGTTAAATTGATTATTGATTAAATAATGATTAAAAATAAATATAAAGGTGATCATGAAAATAGTGTATATTGTTAAGGATATCTAGAAGAACTCTAAGATATACCTACTTGTATACTGATGATGATTATTAAGGATATCTAGAAGAACTCTAAGACATACCTCCTTGACCAATTCATGTTTCGGGTTAAAACGTATGTACGGGGTCCAGAACGGATATCACCCACCCGAGAGATCACTGTTCGGTTGGTACGTAATCCACATGACTCATAGGGTGGATTATCGATTCTTGTGTTCCGCATTAAACTATTTATAGTTTAAGGGCCTGGTTAGAAATATTTCCTTAGACTAGGAATAACTAAGAGCTTGTTATGAAATGATTTGGCCTTAGATTAAGAATAATTTAAGAACACTGTTGAGATATTGGATAATGTATTTATCATGAAATGACTTGGAATAAAATATTGAGAATATTGTGAATGTTTGAATCCTATATTGTGTGCATGATATCAAATGGTTGGTTATGAATTGATATCATTCGACGCTTTAGATATGCTTACTCAGCTTCACCACTAAGCGTGTAGTGTGTTTTATTTGCTACGCGCAGTTAGACAGAATGAATGACTAGCATATTCCTGGGAGCAGAAGGGGCGAGATAGTCGTGGTGGATTTATTGACAAAATAAATAATTATGTTTGTTATGAGAAATGTTTAAAAGTCGCTTCCGCAGATTATTAAACACTCCGCATTTCTTACAGTTATGTATGAAATTTTATTTATGATGAATAAAGTTATTTGAAAAGTTTTAAATTATACAAATACCAAGTTAATACTTTAGTCCGAAAGGGGCTGTAGACCTGGATGGATTAGGGTGTTACAGATCTACCCAGGACGGGGGGAGATCACAATGACCCTTTGGTCATTACAATGGATATCAATGGGGTGGACGTGGCCAGGGTCCTGGTTGATACAGGAAGCAGTGTCAATGTCTTGTACCTGGACGCTTTCAAGAAATTGAAGCTTGACAGGTCCATGCTAAAGCCGCTACAGACTCCATTGTCAGGCTTTACTGGAGCTCGCATAGAAGCGGAAGGTCAGATCACCTTACCGGTTACCTTGGGGACGGGTGACAAAACGGTGACTAAACAAATTAGATTTGTTGTGGTCGATATCAAGTGTGTGCATAATGCCATTCTGGGTAGGTCAGGGCCATTATTTCTATGGCACACTTATGCATGAAGTTTTACACTCCAAATGGAATCGGTGAGGAAATGGATGATCAAAAGAATGCCCGGTCCTGTTACCTCGAAGCAGTCAAGAAGATGACCCGCCAATTCGAGCAAATTGAATTGGTCTCCCAGCAGGTAGACAAGGGTGAGGAGAAGGCTAGGATCGAGCCGGATGCAAATACGAAGGAAATTCAGATTGATGCCTCAAATCTTGAGAGGAAGGTCAAAATTGGGGCTGATCTTCAGGAGGGGCTAAGGACTGAGATTGTCCAGGTGCCAGGTATAAATCTTTGTTTGCCTTGAGTGTTGCTGATATGCCCAGACTTGACCGGTCAGTCATTTGCCATCGTCTCTCTATTCTTGAGGGTTCTAGGCCTGCAAGACAGAAGAAGAGATTCTTGGTAAGTGAAAGAAGGGACTTTGTTAAGAAAGAGGTCAAGGACCTACTTGAGGTAGGTCATATAAGGGAAGTAAACTATCCTGAATGGCTAGCAATTGTGGTCCTAGCCCCGAAGGGTGGTACCTGGAGGATGTGCGTGGACTACACTGACCTCAACAAGGCATGCCCAATGGATTCTTATCCTCTCCCTAGCCCGGACCAGATGGTTGATGAAACTGCCGGCTGTGAGTTTCTGAGTTTCATGGATACCTTCAAAGGGTACCATCAAATTTTCATGGCGGAAGATGATGAGGAAAAGATGGCCTTCCTCACCTCCGATGGGAGCGTACTGTTACAGGGTGATGGCGTTTGGGTTGAAAAACTCAGGGGCAACCTACCAGAGGATGGTCAACAAATTGTTCAGGCCTTTGCTTGGATGGACCATGGAGGCCTATGTGGATGATATGCTGGTGAAGAGCAGGGCAGCCAGAACACACGCTCAGGACTTGGAAAAATGTTCTGAGATTATGGCCAGGCATAATCGCAGACATAATCCAAAGAAGTGTGTTTTTGTTGTGAGGACGGGGAAGTTCGTGGGCTTCATGGTGACAAAGAGGGGGATTTATCCAAATCTAGAGAAGATCGTGGCTATTGTGGAGATGCAACCCCCAACATCGGTAAGGGATGTCCAGCGGTTAACAGGGTGCTTGGCGGCCTTAAACTGATTCTTCTCCAGATCAGCACAGAAGGCTTTGCCTTTCTTTAAAGTTTTAAAGAAAGCCAATACCTTCTAGTGGGATGACGAATGTGCTAGGGCATTCGAAGAGCTAAAGATGTATCTGACTTCGGACATTGTCCTGTCCAAGCCGGAAACAAAGGAGATGTTAACCACTTGTCAGGTGACAACAAATTAACCTATTCCCCAATTACTACACACTTATAAAAATGGTAGCCAAGTGGTAAGTAGGGTCATTCTTCCACAGGGAGATTTGTCTTCTATTATTTCTTCTCTTGATTTATTGCTCAGTTTCCACAACACACACACACACGCAAGGGGGGGGGTTGTTCATAAGATGCTAATGCTACGTAATGAAAACAGATTTTAACAGAAACAATGAGAACAGATCAAAGAAGGAGAGAGAAGATCAGGTAAAGATTTGTGGTTATCAAGTGGAGTGAACAAGCTTGTCTGGTGGAATTAGGAACAGTTGCTCATATCAAAGTAAAAAAATCAGATTCTCAGTTAAACAAGTTGTTGAACAAAAGGGGATTTAGCTCTCTCAGCAAGAAGCTAAATCTCCACCTCAAAAATCAGTCCTTAAGAGAGATGAGCACTGCCTAAGGACCTGTACCTACGTTAATAACCTCAGGATGAGCCTGATGCAAATTAACATAAGCATGAATTCAGTTATATAAAAAAAAACCTTTTGAACATACAATATACTTGGACAGCCAAATACACTATATGCCAGTTGTTGGACCCCAAATAAGAATTTCAGACTAAATAATTGAGGCATGAGACCTACAATCAACAGTTTTGAGAAGCTGAGCACAAAACAGGATTAAACAACCTTCAACAATTGTCTAAACCTCAAATCAAAGCAATGATCACAAATGCCTGAGACTGATCCTAAATTTCCACCAGACAAGAGAGGGATTACTCTCGGGACATGATCGTGATAATCAATTCACAATTTAAACACATGTTCATAGGAAAATATTGTCCAAATAATAGATTAGGACTCAGATTTGAATAGCACGAAATCACACATTCAATTATGAATCAACAATTCAAACAATCCTCAAACATCAAGACTGTATCTCGAATTTGGAAACAAAAACAACGAAGTACCTCTGGACAGCGTTCGAGGATCAAATCTTTCGAACGTGATGACTCCTCTATTCGGCTACAATGCCTGATCAGGAGAAGCGCTTGGTAATTGTGCGACGGTTGATGATGATCGTGAGGTCTAACTCGCCAGATTATGCCTGGTCGCCGGAATTTTTTTCTCCCGGTGAACCTTCGATCTCACCTTCTCTCTCTCTCGTTCCTTTCTCCTCTCACGTAACTCCCCTCTCTCACCAACGCCCTAAGTCTTATAGTAACTAATGGGCCGGGTTGGTTATTTTCACTTCGGGTCATCTAGCCCGATTCTAACATTTAACCCAAAGGACCTAAAATAACACAAGAATAGCACTCTAACCTCTAGGATGGTCAACGTTCTTTCTTGATCTTAAATTAAACCAAATTCTCACTAATGGTGACCCAAAGATTAGTAAATGTAAGGGAATTTAAAGACTATAAAAGAGCCTAACAAAATCCCCCACACTTATTTCTTGGCCGTCCTCGGCCAAGTTGCAGAATTCAAGTATAGAAAGCTCATCATCTCATTTCTATACGTACATTCCTCCTTTCTCTTACTCTAAAGTCCGACCAAATGAACTAATGTAGAATTTTCAACTTTCCCAACTCAAATTTCACCAAAATCGCATGATGTAGTTCCCTTAGGAATGCTGACTGTTTAAATTGAATCTAGAGTGGCTGACTACTTTTTCATGAGAAGGTGATCCCATAATCCTTTTTTTGAATGAGGCCAAAGTCCCAATTGTCCTTACTGTTACTAAACTGCCCCTTTTCAACCCTCAAGCTACAATTGTCCAACTCCCATGTAATAGGATTTTTGGTCAAGCTACCCCAGGCCCATTCCAGATAGCCCGGGACTTAGATAATCAAGGTATCCCATGGACCTCACCCGAGAGAAAGAGAACTGATAAACTGAAAAATGTGTGGGAGTTTCAGAATTGAGTATGGCCCAAAACAAGGGGTTTGCCCTTCCAATTGAACTCTGCTCCATACGCATTGAGTTTCCTTTCGGAATCTGTTGCTTAAAGGGACAGAGATGCCGGGCCACCAATGCCAAGTCCAAAAGGTTTTTCCCACACACATTCAGGCTTAAGAGTCTAAAGAGGTAGCAAAAAAACAGTTTGGGTTAGGACTTAATGACTCCACTCTAATGGTTGCTGTTTAAGGGTGTTCTCAATCAGTAAAATCAACCAACCACCTTAGAATCCAACTCAAAACAGCCAGGCTAACAGTCACTAAAAAACAATTTTGCACCAGAATTTTAGTGCAACTCAATTTGGGAGTTTGAAAGCTGTACAATGCTGAAATGGACATTCCAGAATAAGAGACAGAAGCAATATTCATTCAGACATTCGAAGAAGCATTTCCCTTCCTATACTTGGTCCTCCACAACTTAGCTGAGAATTGGAGACCATGATTGATGGTTTGGTTTAATCTCAAATCCAGAAAGAAGGACATACATCACTGAAGGTTAAAGGGAGCATGCAACCTACTGTGTCTAGAGGGAATGGGGTTAAGCTTACAACCTAAAGCCAACCAAGTCTACCCCCCCACACTTAAGGTATGGCACTGTCCTCAGTGCAATTGGTCTGGTCAGGCCAGCCAATCACACAATCACCAAATCACACCTCCTAACTAGCACATCACACCCTCCCCCACTTTCCTTAAACTACAGGAAGGAGGGGACAGAGGTTCATCACTGGTTCCATAAGGGAACCAGCTTCCCTGTTCAATGCTGCAAGCACAGTCACAAAGTCCATTATTACAAAGCAAAGTAAAAAGAAACAAAACACTGGGTTGCCTCCCAGGTAGCTGCCCTGTTTAAAGTCCTTGGCCAGACACTTTCTCAAGTTTCTGCAGACAGCTTCCAACCTCAAGCTGTCCACAACCTCCTCTTGTTGTCCCTCATGAAACAGTTTTAACCTGTGCCCATTTACTTTGAAACACTTATTAGTAGCACAACTTCTAATGTCAACTACACCATAATCATACACATGGACAACTGTAAAAGGACCTAGCCACTTAGACTTGAGCTTTCCAGGAAACATATTGAGTCTTGAGTTAAACAAAAGTACCTTGTCACCAGTATGAAATTCCTTCTTTCTCAACTGAGAATCATGCCATATTTTTGTTTTTTCTTTGTATATGACAGAATTATCATAAGCTTCAAGTCTAAGTTGCTCTAATTCAACTAGCTGCAACAGCCTTTCCTGCCCACTAAGGTCAGACTCAAAATTCACCTCTTTAATGGCCCAGTAGGACTTATGTTCCAATTCAACAGGAAGATGGAAAGCCTTTCCAAAAACTACCCTATAAGGGGACATGCCTAAAGGTGTCTTAAAGGCTGTCCAAATTGCCCACAGAGCATCTTCAATTCTCAAACTCCAGTCCTTCCTATCTGGTCTAACTACCTTTTCAAGGACTCTCTTGATTTCTCTGTTTGAAATTTCTGCCTGCCCATTACACTAAGGGTGATACCCAGTAGAAACCCTTTGTGTAATGTGATACTTAGCACAGACAGCTGACATGGTCTTATTACATAAATGAGTGCCTCTATCACTAATCAATGCTTTAGGTATGCCATACCTATTCAAAATGAGTTCTCTTAATTTTTTAACCACAGTTTGAGAGTTATCATCCCTAGTGGCCACTCCCTCTATCCATTTAGACAAATAATCAACAAAAACCAAGATGTATTGAAAACCATTTGAAGGAGGAAATGGTCCCATAAAATCCATACCCCAGATATCAAAAATCTCACAAACAAGGATGGAGGTTAAGGGCATTTGATCTCTTTTAGTTAAAGAACCAGTTTGCTCACACCTAGGGTAATTTTTACAAAATTCAGCAGTGTCCTTAGACATGGTGGGCCAGAAAAAACCAGATTCAAGGATTTTATGAACAGTTCTTTTAATACCCAAATGTCCTCCATACTCTAAAGTATGACAAAATTTTAGGATAGAGGGTACTTCATGATAGTCCACACATCTCCTAATGAGTAAATCAGAACAGAATTTCCACAAAAATGGTTCTTCCCAGTAGTAATACCTTGACTGAGCTTTGAGTTTACATTTCTCAGCTTGTGGCATGCCTACTGGAAATTCTCCAGTAACCAAATAGTTAACCAACTCACTATACCAAGGAAACACTTTCACTGCATATAAAGACTCATCAGGGAATAAACCAGTGAAAGGTGTCTGGTTGTTAGAGTATAAGACTCTGCTAAGATGGTCAGCTACTTGATTCTGCAGGCCTGGTCTGTCTTTGAGCTCAAGTAGGAACTCTTGAATTAGAAGCATCCACCTAATCAGTCTAGGCTTAGATTCCCTCTTAGCCATCAAGTATTTAATGGCAGCATGATCAGTGAGAATAGTGACCTTGACCCCTAAAACATAAGTCCTAAACTTCTCAAGTGCATACACCACAGCATATAAATCTTTTTCAGTGGTGGTGTAATTGCACTGAGCAGAATCTAGGGTGCTACTAGCATAAGATATCACAATGGATTCCTGTCCTTTTTTCTGTCCTAACACAGCTCCTATGGCCCTATCACTGGCATCACACATTATTTCAAAGGGTAAAGTCCAATCAGGGCTTTGAACAATAGGGGCAGTAGTGAGCTTAAGTTTAAAGAAATCAAAAGCTTTTTTACAATTCTCATCAAAGTGAAAAGGCACATCTTTACCCAACAAGGCAGTTAGAGGTAAAGCTATTTTTGAAAAGTCCTTTATGAATCTTCTCTAAAATCCCGCATGTCCCAAAAAAGCTCTGACTTCTTTTATGTTGGTAGGATAAGGTAAGGCTGAAATGACCTCTACCTTAGCCTTATCAACTTCCAAACCCCTTTTAGAAACAACATGTCCCAAAACAACACCTTTATTTACCATAAAATGACACTTTTCAAAATTCAGAACAAGGTTTGACTCAACACATCTTTGTAAAACCATAGCTAAATGCTCTAAACCCTCATCAAAACTGTCTCCATACACAGTAAAATCATCCATGAAAACCTCCATTATTTTTGTCAAATAATCTGAAAAGATGCTGGTCATGCACCTTTGGAATGTTGCAGGGGCATTGCACAGACCAAAAGGCATTCTTTTAAAAGCAAAGGTCCCATAATGACAAACAAAAGTGGTCTTTTCCTGGTCTTCAGGAGAAATAGGGACTTGAATGTATCCTGAATACCCATCCAGGAAACTATAATGGGATCTTCTAGACAATCTCTCTAACATTTGGTCCATAAAAGGTAAAGGGAAATGGTCTTTCTTGGTGGCCTTATTTAATTTCTTATAATCTATGCATACCCTCCACCCTGATTGAACCCTTTTAGTAATCTGTTCCCCTTTCTCAATGGTAACCACAGTGGCTCCTCCTTTCTTAGGAACCACATGTGTAACACCCCAATCCGTATAACCCGGAATTATACGAATTATGGTGAAACAAGAGTTAAGTAAAAATTTCGCTTGACATTTGAAAATGACAATTACTTATAAATATTAAATTTACAGACTCTGGATCGCGACCCATTTAA